ATGATTCCACTTTTTCTTGACCATTATAAACTTCTGGGAGTAGAAGTTGTCCATGTATTTTAAGTAAATGTGTGTTGTATAACTTGATTCTTTGCTGTGATGACTGTTTGGCAATTTGACTTGGTACATAGTTTTGGTGGTGCAAGTCTGGCTGAGGTACGAGTTTACTCTCCTTGGCTAGTAATAATGCACTTCCACCGTCGAGGGCGGTCTCACACCTACTAAATCTTCTGAGAGGTTGTACATACAGTAGTAGATGGTGTGAATTCAAACCTAATACTAAGCAATGAGGCTATGCTTACCCTGATTCTGCTGCAGTGTTGGACTGAGGGACAGAATACATCTCCAATCTGACTGACCTGCCTATATGCAGATTACAAACCCAACGATCTCAGGAATGCCAGAGTGTACTGTAAGTGTTCATCTGGAAGTCTCTTGTGGTTGATTATGTACAGATACACCAAGATGTCAAGCGTGTGGATTTGAAAGTACCAACAACTTGCACAACCTTGTAAACACTAGTGCTGCCGAGCATAGCCCAAACAGGAGTACTGGTACTCAAAACTAGTATGCCATTCCTTTTAACAGAAATCTTAGAAGTTAGCTTGCTGGATGCATATCCATGTGGTCCAGGCATACTGGTTCAGACATACTGTCTGATAACTTTGGCAAGTAGAGATGATACTTCTCCTGTATCACTTTTGTTTTCATGGGTCCATTGACAATGTGAGCACAGGTTTATGCAATGTCTTTGTAAGGAATTATCTTTGCTACTCTTACTGTTCCCTCATGTCCGTTACAGAGCCAAGAATGCAGCAACAGACTGTAAAGACCCTGGACAGGTTGGCACTAGTTCTATGCAAGATTTCCATGATGGTACAGGTTCTGTTGACACTGGCTCAGAAAATGTTATGTTAAGGCCTGCACTGAATCAACCAAATGCAGAACCAGAGGTGAAGATTCTGCACATGTTAGGAACACTGACGATTCAGTAGACAGTGGGTTTGGCAACACTATTTACATAAATTAAACATTTGAGTTTTCAGTATTACTAGCAT